CTGAAGTGTCGACCATTTCTGGCCGGCAACTTTCAGCATCATTAAGCCGCTGCGCCACCGCTTTTTAGGAAGTGATATATAGAGTCTATATTTCGCATGGTATACACAGGATTTTTCAACCTTGACAATGTTAAGACGTGTGGACTTCAACTCCCAGAATTCCTCAGCCAGCTGGCTGGGGGGTTCTGGGAGTTGAAGTCCACACATCTTAACATTGCCAAGATTGAGAAACCCTGGTATATACAGTCCAATGTCTTAAACTCTCTGGTTCTACTGTAGATAGAATGAATATAGTAGGAGTCACTTTCAAGTACACATGAAATAGGCATGATTTGACTACATTTAACTACTATAAAAGCTCTTTTCTCATATTACTGAAACTATTTACTGACGACTCTTTAGTCACTTCTCTTTTCTTTTAAATTTATTCCCTCTAGAATTTTGTGGACTTTCAAGAAGCATGTAGTTAATGTGCAAAAAAAAAGTGTGCACTGCCTTTCAAGAAAACCATTAATCACAAACCTTCAGAGCAGAAGCATTATTTAATAACAAATCAATGATCAGAAGAGGCAATGCAATAAAAAATTCAGAAACAAATAACTAAAACTTTCTACATGGGCATTCTAAAACAGAGATGCTATAATAAAAAAGCATCTGCTTCTTGTCGATGATCATTTTGCCTCAATGTAAAAGACAGATATTTTAGCAGGAGTCCTATCAGTTGAACAAGTATGAGGAAATTGATTAAATCTGTTTTCCAACTGTATAGATGAAAAAGAAGTCTAAGACCCATATTCCAAAAAGCTAAAGCACTGAAACAGGAGCAGGAATAACTATTAGTAAGATTCTATAATATCTGCATTGATTGTCAAAACCTCAGTATCTTCCCATCTCTTGTGGTGAGAAGAAACAAGTTCAGTGAAAAAAAATGTTAATCATTACAACTTCAAGATGTACGCATTAGAAAAGGCAAGAGACATCCTAGCACTCTTTTATCTGTTTTTATTTAAATATTCCGTTAACACATTTATTGCTGAGTGTTTTATAGTAATCCTAAACACAGACAAATTAAATTAAAGATATACATTTTGAAAGTTGACATTTCTAGTCCGCAATTAAATGGAACACCTTAGGTTTTCATTCAACTGGTTAAGAACAGTTGGGCTTTGATTTGCAGTTCCCAAGGGTACTTCAGACAAGTACCTATCATTAGGGGAGAAAATGAATAGGACAAGCTTTTAAAGGAGATTAGGCTCAGCAAGAAAAAATAATTGTGAGAAAAATAAAACAGTTGCAAATAAGTATTTCAAATGAAGGCAGTGAAAAAGCTATCCAGCTTTCAAAAACAGCAGACCACTATTTAAACCTGGATGAAAGCTAGCCTTCACTGTTATAAGATACTGAAATCTCATTGGAAAAATGAAATTATAATTGACTCTTCAAAGGAAAATCCACCAGAAGTTCCTCTCGACTAAGGAAGAGAAATGGTTTCCTGTGTGTTGTCATACAGAAGATGGAAAAAAAAATTAATACCAACCCTGTCACTATGGTGATATTTCAGGAAACTTTATAGTCAGTGTGTTAAAGCAGGGTTCCTCAACCTTGGCGACTTGAAGATGTGTGAACTTCAACTCCCAGAATTCCCCAGCCATCATGGGAGATGAAGTCCAAACATCTTCAAGTTGCCAAGATTGAGGAACCCTGTGTTAAAATGTGGGACAAGAACTGGGGAAACCCAGATTCAAGTTTTCTCTTGTCACAGAAGTTCACTAGATGATTTTGGGCAGTCACGTTGTCAGCCCATGCTCCTTCCCAAGATTGTTGTTGTGGGGAAAAGAAAGGAACATGAGAGTGTTATGGATGCCATTGAGTTCCTGCAGGAAAAGCTGAATATAAATCTAACAAATAAGTAATAAAAATTGAAGTTTTGCCCTTCTTCATGCTTTGCTGCAATCTGAAGTGAATTCTGTCCTGAATACCCCCCAGGTGTAGAATTCACCACTGTGAAATCTTTTAAGAGTGCTTCACAATGCACCAGATGTGAAAGAAACACCTTTCTTCTAATCAACAATTCAATTGTGTCTTTTCCTGGGCTTCCACAACTGTTCTATAAGCTGCTTCGGTCTGTCTCTGCCTGTGTGTGCATTTGCAGTCACTTTCCAAACTCAAAGACTGAACAATTGCAACATATTCTTCAAAAAAGCTGTATTTTTAAAAAAAATAAAATAAAATTTAAAACTCATGAAAAGGAGCATGCCTAAAAGAGTGAGGTCAATAAAATGGAAGATATCAATTCTGTTATTTTTACCAGAAAGACAGAAACACAGGCATGTTAAAAGACACACAAGACCACTCAAGTATTATAATCAGTAATAAATTCCAACATGAAACTAACACACTTGGTCTAAAAGCATATTAATATTCAGGACAGAAAAGCATTTAAAACCTCACTAGTTTTGTCCAAAAGTTGTACTAACACGTCAGAAGTAGTTAAGTACTGTAGAATGTACTGTGAATCAACAAGCTTTTAAAAAGGCACTATGTGAAACTGTGAAGAGTCTTAAGCAAATCAAACCACTGAACCCACTACTTCATTTCAGGCATCCCATTACATTCACTGGAGAAAATGCAAGAACAGTATGCCAAAGAGAAGAGGGACCAGACTGCCCAAATCAAAAGACTCTGGGAGGGTTACAACAGTTTAAAATTATAAAACCAATGATAGGAATAAATCAAAAAATATTTTTTGATACAGAAGAAACACTTTGGCAGCAAGCCCCAGCATAGCTTGAATATAATCCATGCATTGCTCTATGTCTATGCTCTTGTTCAATGAACATTATTTTTAAAATGTTTCCTATTTTATTTGTGAAAAGTTCAGACCGAGCACCGATGCACAATAAAACCCAGATTTTAAGGTATGTTCATCAGTTGCTATGGTAACAGCATCCTGCACTGAATCCTGCTATAGTGATAATTGACCATCTTTTACATAAAAGGCAGTTTTATATTTAATTATTCAGGACATTAAAGTACTATAAATGAATTATCCCGTATTTATTTCTGAAGTTAATATATTTATCTCCCTTTTTTCTGAGTTTTGTTCAGTTACTTCAATTTGCTGTTATCTTCAGAGTCCTAGAGCAAGGGAACCATGGAGCCAAATCCCAGAGACCATTATTTATCTCTGTGTAATTAATAAAGCTGTTCAGCTATCCCAGATCTTTGGGCCAGCCCCTCCCTACTATATTTTCAAAGAGTCATGAAAACATTGTTTGAAGATTCTTCAGATGACTGACACATCAGGGCCTTGTGGTTGTTTTCCATGAATTTTTTATATTTTAATTTTATGCGGTGACTTGAACGTCACTCAGAATCTTTGGAAATGGAGCAACGTATAAGCAGAAGTAATTAATAAACAAACCTTTTTAAATTACTTCTTTCATAGAAATAAATAATTAAATGCATCACATTCTTCAACTAAAAAGGTTTAACTGATCTGACGTGGAAAGACAGCCTATTCATGCAGAAAACAATAAGGTTGGTCTCTAGGCAGATTAATAACAATACAGAGAATTTCACCCTCGTGTTTTTTTGTTTTTCTGTTTTAATCCTGGCAAACAGAAAACCAGCCTATCCGTGATAAAATTTTCAGACCTACTTTTTCCCTTGCTAAACTAGTTTCATAGTCGTAGGATAGTTTTATATTGTATTTTAATGAACTTTATCTCTGCTGTAAACTGCCCAGAGTCGTTTCAACGAGGTGGGTGGTGCCAAATTTGGTAAATAAATAAGTAAAGTAAGTAAGCACAGATCTCAGTGGAATGACTCCAATTTAAAGTGGACCAGACTTTTTGGCAAGTGCAATTTTCTATTACCTAATCCTGTGGCTTGTGCACAACTATCAAGGCAATTTCCTATGTTGCAAAGTGATTCTTGTACTTTCAAGCCATTGTCACATGTCCTCTCTAGCAACAGAAATGTCAAGAAGAAAGCTTATATTTTTCTATACATACATGCACAGTCATGAATTACAATGATCTTCAGTTGATCTAAGAAACTGTCCTTTATTGCCAAGAATAATCAGCAAATTTTATTATTCAGCCAATTGGTAAGTAATCCTTTGGACAAAGCTCCTAGGATAATATACATAAGTACAAAATTAAACATTATTATAACAACAGAGGCCAGTTAAATATAATTTAACGAAGAGCAGTCATGAACAGAATGCAGTATAGCAAACATTTGAATTTTAAAACCAACTAATGTTCGGAAAAAACTGACCAATAAAATATATACCAAGTTAAAAGACTTAAAATTAAGGTCTAGTTACTAGAAAATAATCAGAAAGTTTTGTTTGCCTTTTATAGAAGATAAACCTTTGAACAAAATTAAGTTGTATCCGATAGACACTACAGCTCCATCTACTTTAACAGCTATATAATTAGGAAACAAATGGGTTTGATTGTTAATGACAGTATGGAAGTTCTGCTGATTAAGTAATTCAAAGATGCCTATATTAATGTATCATCATTATATAAGTAATGTGTTTTATTTACGTTTTAACATGTATTTTGAGTAATTTGAAGGCATTTTTAAGCACTAGTTTTGGTTATTTTACCTTAATATATGTTATTTTAAGGCTACACAATTCAAGGCAGGTGGGATGATACACAATTCATCCTCTTCCTATAAGAGCGGGACTGATGGGACTAAATAACTCGGTCAGAGGACATTGTCTGTAGAGTAAGTGGATGAGCTACGAAAAGGTACATTCTCATTATATGTCCCCGCAAGGAATAATTTTAGGAACTCTTAGGAACAGCTATTGGAAATCCACAGACTCAATCTATGAGGTCATTACAAATACAAAAGACACAGACTTGGCATTATGATCATTAACAGCAGAAATCTCATTTGATAAGACTGTTCATCTGCAGGGAGGCTAAGGAAGCAAAAAACAAGCAAAGCAAAGATGAAAACCGTCTTTAGAAAACATTGAAATAGCCATTAGCCCTATCCCTCGTCACAAAAAGAAACTTTTCAAGAAATATATTATCAAAACTTGGTTCTGTTTTTTTCTCTTTGCTGCTCCCTAAATGTTTGGGGTGGGGATTTAAGTGGACTGTGCAGTTAGTGACACAACCAAAGAAATCATCCATTTACCTGTACGCCAGTGCCAGAGCCCAGACGCATGCAGCACAATAAAGACTGTCGTGTATTTTTGCTCTCTGGTTCTCACCGTACGTTTTTGTGGGGAAAAGACCAGTGGTTGGACTTTGGAAAACTAACACCGTTGACTTAACTGCCAAGAGAAACAAACAAGCAAACAAATTATTATCTCAACTGGTTTCAAACTTAAGCATCTTTTTTTTTCATAAGGGGAAACCACTGTGAATATGGTGAGAAATATGCCCCAAAATGTGTATCAAAATTTGTTATTAATTTCCTATGAGAGTTTCTGCTCCCTACAGCTTCCTTTAAAATCTACATTCCTGGCAACGTTAGCTGATTGCAGTTCCCTAGGTTTTACCTACCCCATTAAAAAAGTAGCATAACTGCTACAGTTTCCCTGAGAAATAATTCCTTGAGGTACCTTATCATACATCACCAACATTTCAGCACCTGAAGAAAATCAAAGTACCATTTTCTTTGAAACTTGAGATGAAAATATCTGAAAGGAGAAAAAAAATCCCCTTCTCCATTTGACTGGGATGTTACAGAGGATCTATAGCAGCATTTGATAACCTTTCCCCCTTCTACGTGGACATTGACAGGGCTAAAGGAAATAATAAATAGGACCAACACTCAAAATGGGTGCTGACACCTATTTTCTGTTTCTCTTCTCTTCTTTTGGGCACACCACCTTTTTCTCTTTCTGAGACCTATTCTGCTGTCTCTCAAGGAGTAGGCTACAAGGGAGATAGAGCTCTCATCAGAGGCCTGAATTTCTCTTGAAAAAGTCGATTAAAATTAAACCAAGCACCATGTACAATTTAGTGCGAGAATCACAGATTCCCCCTTTTCAGGTTGGGGGGGGAGAAATTAATGTAATATGTATTTGAACGTGAGCATGTACAAACTAGAACAATGTTCCAAGGCCTGCGCCTTCTGAAATGTTCCATTTCAAAAATCTACATAAAATGCAGAAAAACATACAGAAAAACACATTAGCTAAAAATAAACCCCCAAATTGAGTAAATTAGGAAAACACATAGAAGTACACATTTGAGAATGATGCTTGAAAATGCATCCAACCCTTAAAAAATCAAACAATGGAAAAGTGAAATGAAATGAACAGAAGTTGGAAACATTGGAAGCTGATGAAATCAACTTGACAAATTTACAGTTTACACTACAGAGTGATGAAGACTTTCGCACTTGCTTCTTCCCAAATAATAACAGAATATTTTAACATGTATTCGTTGCAAAGCTATTGTTAAGAAACTAGCAATCTGACAGTTTGATGGTATTTATTATTTGAAGTTTTTGGTCTTACAGTCCATCTTTCCATCAAACATGAAATTCTTTAGTAGTCTATGAATACTTTCAGTTATTAAAAAGTAACAGTTCAAATGTTACTGAAATGTGGAAGCTACTTATTGCTCAACTGTGATTTCTGATTAAACAAAACATTCTTGAGAAGTTTGCAAACCTCTCTCCTTTTGAAAATTATTTTTTATTTAGGGTTCATATAAATTGATGACAATTGTATAAAATGGTGAATGGTAAAATATTCCTTTTGAAGGTTATTTATAACTCCTATATGAGGAAGTAGTTGGGGAGAAGAAAAAGTAAGGTATTGTTTAAAAGCAAATTACAAAACAGGCTTGGAAGAAGAAAATATGTTTTTTTAAATACAGCATTTCTCAAATAATTATATTAACTCTGCCATTATGGCAGGCAATAGGGCTCATGGTTAGTTTCTTGCTTATTTTACAGGATAATCTGATAGAGTTACTGTATGGCCATGACTATTACTAATATTAAGCCTCATGTGAAAATATTCTTGTCTGTATGTGGCTACTGGAGAAAACAAATCAACAGCAGCACATAATGAATATGTGAATTTTTTATGATCCCAATTATATTTATGACAAGAACATAGCATTATTTATCTTTGCTCCCCCACTTTTTTCCCCAAAGTAAAAAATAAAATTATATTTTGCCTGACTTACCTATAAGGTAGTAATGATCCAACTTATCCCACAGACTCTCTGCATCTGGTCTTAGCAGATTAATGCTTTTAAGGGGCTCGTATACAGAGCCTAAAGGAAGAAATCAGGAGGCCTTGATTATAATCATAGCAATGAGATGAAAACAAAATTGAAGTCCTTGTGAAAGTATTCTCAAGTATACTTTTATTTACTTCTATTTATTTATTTGTACTGACTTCAGCTTTTATACCTCACTTTTCCAAAAGATAACCAGGATAGTTCACAAAAATAAAAACATGGCATTCAGTTAGCATGTTGATTGATCTGAAAAAAAGAGAAGAGCCCCTTTTAAAACTCTTCTTTACAGGAAAATACTGGTCCGTACTTTCTGCATATTAAGAAATTCTGTATGAAGTATGAATACAACTTATGCATTCCAATTAAAACACTGAACAATTCTGTACCAGTTTATGCAGTCAAGATGAATAAAGTATAGCCTAGATCAGTGTTTCTCAACCTTGGCAACTTTAAGCTGTATGGACTTCAACTCCCAGAATTCCCCAGCCAGCATGCTGACTGGCCTAGATGAAAAAGCCTACTACTAAAGTGACATAGATCCGTAACATACTCTAAAAGAATCAGCAAAGAATGCATCTGTAGTGACTAATCTTGCAAAATAATTCTAGGGCAATGTTGTCCAAACGTGGCCACTTTAAGATGAGTGGACTTCAACTTCCAGAATTCCCCAGCCAGCCTGCTGACTGGCCTAGATGAAAAAGCCTACTACTAAAGTGACATAGATCCGTAACATACTCTAAAAGAATCAGCAAAGAATGCATCTGTAGTGACTAATCTTGCAAAATAATTCTAGGGCAATGTTGTCCAAACGTGGCCAAACTTTAGTGAGAGGGGTTTTAATT